GAGCAAACGTATAATAACATCTGTCTAATCCACAATTATGGTATCATCCAAGATAGTTTCACTGCACTAACATTCTCTGTGCTTTGACAGTTTATTTCCCCTACCTAGCACCTGACAGTCATTGATACTTTTATTCTCTCCATAGTTTTGCCTTTTCCAGAATGTCATATACATGTAGTTGGAATCATACTGTATATAGACTTTTCAGGTTGGTTTTTTTCACTTAGTAATATGCATTTTAGTTTCTTCCATGTCTTCTCCTGGCTTCATAGTTCATTCTTCTCAGTATTGGATAATACTCCATTGTCTGGATGTATTATAGTTTATTTACCCATTTATTTACTAAAGGACGTCTTGGTTGCCTCCAAGAGTTGGTAATTGTGAATAAAGATGCTATAAACATCTGTGTGCAGGCTTTGGTGTCAGACATATGTTTTAACTCCCTTGGGTAAATACCAAGAAGCATTATTGCTAGATCATATGTTAAGACTGCTTTCCAAAGTGGCTGTATCATTTTGTATTCTCATTAGCATTGAATCCCTGTTGCTCCACATCTTCACCAGCATTTGGTGTTGTCAATGTTTCAAATTTGGGCTATGCTCATAGGTAAATAGTATTATCTCATTTTTGTTTTAATTTGCATTTTCTTGACATTATGTGAAGTAGAACACCTTTTTCTTGTGCTTATTTGCTTTCTGTGTATCTTCTTTGGTCAGGTATCTATTAAGGTCTTTGATTCATTTCTTTAATTGTGCTGTTTGTGTTCTCAATGCTGCGTTTTAAGAGTTCTTCACATATTTAAAATAATATTCCCTTATCAGATGTGTATTTTGCAAATATTTTCTCCCAGGCTGTGGTTCATCTTCTTGCCATTGTCTTGCTACTGTCTTTTCAGAGAAGTTTTTAATTTTAGTGAAGTCCAGATTATCAATTATTTAGTGTTGTACCTAAAAAGTATTCTCCATAACCAAAGTCATCTAGGTTTTCCCCTAGGTTATAATCTAGGAGTTTTTATAGTTTTATGTTTTACACTTAGATATATGATTTATTTTTATTTGATTTTTTGAAAGATATAAAGTCTGTGCCTAGATTCCTTTTTGTTTGTTTTGTATGTGGATGTTCAGTTGTTCCAGTACCATTTAAAATATATATATATAATTTTGCTTCATTACATTGTCTTTGCTCCTTTGACAAAGATAAGGTGACTATATTTATGTGGGTCTAGTTCAGGTATATTCTGTCCCACTGATCTACTTGTCTTGGTTACCAGTATCACACTATCTTGATTATTATAGTGCTATACTAAGTATTAAAGTTGGGTTTCCAATATAACTTAACTTTTCTCCATCTATTTATTTTTAATCTATATGTGTCTTTATATTTAAAGTGGGTTTCTTGTAGACTGCATATAGTTAGGTCTTGTTCTTTTATCTCCTCTAATATTCACTACACTTTAATTGGGAGACTGAGAGAAGAGGATCTCCTGAGCCCAAGAGTTTGAGGTTGCTGTGAAAGTGAGACTCTCTCTCAAAAAAAAAATTAAAAGTAAATAATAATAATAAAACAAAAAAACCCATTGGTCTACTGTCTTTTGGCTTGTACTGAAACTTCAGCTGTCATCCTTATCTTTGTCCATATCATGTGACCATTTCCTCTGGTTGCTTTTGTGATTTTTCTTTTTATCATTGTACTTTAGGAATTTCATATGATGTGCTTGGGATAAGGACAAGCACAACATATTGATTCATGATTATTCTACTTAAGGCTTTATGAGCTTCTTATGCCTGTAAGTTTATACACTTTACTAAATTTGGAACTTTGTTGACAATTCTTTGTTCAAATATTTTTGCACCCTCCTTCCTGTGACTCTGCATATCCGGGACCCCAAATACCTATAAGTTAGAATATTTTCTATGTTTGTCCAAATCACTAAACTTCTATTAAATTTTTGAAACCTTTTTCTTTCTATGACTTATTTTGGATAGTTTATATTGCTATGTTTTCAAGTTCACCAATTTTTTTTTTGAAGGAAGGCAGAGTTTAATCCCATCCAATGAATGTTTTAAGATATATATACATATATTATGTATAAATATGTATGTATAAATATACATATATATTCATTCCATTTCTCTTCTCATTACTTTCACATATTTCTTTACATTGTTGGAAAAATTCATACTATTTGAACATTTATAATTGTTTTAAAGTTTGTGTCTGCAAATTCTAACATCTCTGTCATTTCTTGGTCTGCTTTTATTTATTTTTTGTTTTTTGGTTGCAGGTCATATTTTCATATTTTATCACATGCCTCTGTATTTTTGTTGATATTAGGTATTGTGAATTTTTACATTTTTGAAACCTAAATTCTTTCTTATTCATTTTAATAGTGCTAGACTTTATTCCGGCATATTGTTAAAATTTTTAAACACTGTTTTACCTGTTTATGTTCCTTTTAAGCAAATTCTGGATCAGGTCTAAAGCAGCTTTTGTATTGGGGCAAATGAAACCATTATACTCTTCCACTAATATTAAAGCAGATGACTCTTCTAAGGACTCCAGCAAGCATCCTTTACATTAGAGGAGATCTCTGCTTTCTGACTGATGGAAAAGCAAATTATGTCCCTTCTTGTGTGATCTCCAGGAAGCATTTAGTTTACTATTTTCTAAGTGTTTCTTTCCTTGGTGTCATGGAGTTTGACCACCACCCATGTGTAGGTCAGAACTGAATGCAAGACTCAAGCACAATGTTTCACAGATATCAGGGGCTCTTTAGGTGTGCAGTTTCTTCTGTCTTGGTAAAGACATAAAGTTTGGTCACCTCATCCTGCTGGAGTGCTAATCTCTGCCTCTTCCCCTCAGTATGACTGGCTGGCTCTGTTTGGGTTTTCTCTCTCGGCAGTGGAGTTGTGTACACCTACTCAAAACACTTTAGATGGTATCTGTTTGGCCAGATTTAGTCATGTGAAAACATTTCACTGTATAACAGGCTGAGAAATGTATTAGTAGTTTTTATTCTGGCTGGCCCTGGCTTACTAAAACTCAGGAGTTCTACTACTGAGAAACAAGAGAAAAACAGATATTTGTAGATTAACAACAATCTTTTATATAAAAATAGCCTACCCTTAAGTATGTAGCATTTCAGCCTTTTCAGAGTTTTCCAAATATTCTTCCCAGAAGTTCATTTATTTTCATTAATAGATTACTGGATATGATAAAGCCATTGGATTCCATTTTTAATATCCTTATGAGTTGGTTTGTCCTAAAAATATGAATTCAAGATTCCATTAAGTCAAACACAAAACACATTTTGGTTATATTAGTATTCTATCATCAGAAGTCTTTATAGTGAAAAAGAAAATGCATAGGCATATCAGAAGTGCCAAGGAAAAGCAGAACTATCCAACCCGGGTTGGAGTTGCAGGCTTCTGTGAGTTTACAGATATTTATATAATATGCACTTAGGAGACAAACATCTTTTTGAGCTTTTCATACCATGGCAGAGTAAATTTTAAAAGGAAATCAGCAGTGCCTTAGTGCAGCAGGCAGGGCGTCAGTCTCATAAAAGGAGCTCAGTAATCAACAAAATGGCTTATTCGAGAATGCTCACAACAACTTCATTCATGACAGCCAAAACCTGGAAATGGCCCAAGATCTATCCACAGGTGAATGGATGAACTATGGTATATGCATACAATGGCATATGCCTACTTAGCAATAAAAAGAAACCATTGATACATGCAACAACATGGATACGTCTCAAAAGCATTATACATCATATGAAAGATGCCCTATTCAAAACAGTACATGCCAATTGCTTCCACTAATATAAAGTTCTTAAAAAGGCAACATTAATCAATGATGGAAAAAAAGGAAGAATAGAGTCTGTCTCTAAGGGTAGGTGATTGACTAAGAAGGGACATAATGAAACTTTTAAGGAAGATGGTGCTATTCTATATCTTAATGATAGTTTTGTTTTATACAGGCACAACCATTTGTCACAGTTCAATTATTGAGTCTTTATAATATATTCATTTGAATGATTATTAATTTTATATCAGAAAAAGAAACTGTGTACCAGTTGAATGCTAGTTAATGTTGAACTCTAGTTAACATTATGGCTGCTGAGATATATAGGAGAAAGTGCATTGTTGTCTACAATTTCCTTTAAAATGCATAAAAATAATAAAGTACAGAGAGATGAGCAAAAGAAACATATGATAACAGTAAAATCTTGGTGGTATCTATATAAATGTTCACTGTACAAATCTTTTCATTGTACAATGGAAAATTTTTATATTACATTGGTAGTAAAAGTGATTATTGAGGGTAGATTTGAGATAAATGTCCAATAATTTTTAGCTAAAATAACATCAGTTCACCAGGATGGTATTTGTCTCCTTCAGAATCTATGACTTGTTTAGCCTGGGGGGAGAAAAATAATACAGAAATGTTTCCACAAATAAAATTATTTTATTAATATTAATATTCCAGATTGAGAAGGATTCTGTTTATATTCAGTATTTCATATTGATGTAATATTTAAGAGAATCTGACCTTATAGAATGACATCATAACTCCACTTTAAAACATGTAATTAAGCAACTGAAATAGATTCTGATTTTAAACTGAAATCTTACTAAGTTTAGTTTAATATCAGAAATTTTACAATGTATAAGAGTTAAATGCTCAGAAAGATTTTTGTTGTTCGTCAAATTGAAATACATCTCCCATAAAATAAAATTAAAATGTTTGAAGGTTTCTATATTTTAGCTAAATCTTTAAATATAACCAAACCAAATTCAAAAAATTTTTAAAGTAGCTTGTTAAGTAAAATTTGGTTATTGCAAAAATGGAACAAAGATTTAAAACCTAAGAATTTCATTTAAAAAAGAAAACTGCCTTCAAATTTTTCAGAAAGCTCATATCAGTAGAAATAATTTTTCAAAGAATATTTTGGTTCACAGAGTTAAGCTGAAGGTAGGTAGCTTTCTCTTTTTTTTTAATCTCAGTCTACTGCTGAAATCAATATGGTAATTCATATGCTCAGACATTTATTTTTACAACATCACTGATAATAGGTAGCTTTCTAACAGATTTTTTGAAGCTCATAAAACACATCAACCCAACTCTCCCCTAGGCTACCTTTTAAAGTACATTGGTGTATATTTAATAAGCAAGATATTCCAGAACTTTTTTGAGTAGTTTCAGAATGTAGTTGACCTCTTAGCCTGGTGTTGTGGGCTCTTATAGTCCCAGGTACTCAGGAGGCTGAGGCAAGAGAATCACTAGAGCCCATGAGTTTGAGGTTGCTATGAGCTATGACACCATAGCACTCTACTAAGGGTGACAAAGTGAGACTCTGTATCAAAAAAAAAAGGACAGCGCCTGTGGCTCAAAGGGGTAGGGTGCCGGCCCCATATGTCAGAGATGATAGGTTCAAACCCAGTCCTGGCCAAAAACTGCAAAAAAAAAAAAAAGAAGAACATATCTCACCTCAAAATCACTGATACACTATTCATAGGGGAGTGCCTGAATTATATGAAGTCCATCCAAGTAAACTTGGAGTAAATGTTAATCCTTCTCCAAGATTAATCAAACCATCAGAAGGCTGAACTCCATTCTTTTTGTCCTTCCCATTTAGTTTTTTATTTATTTATTTATTCAAGACAGAGTCTTATTATGTCACCCTCAGTAGAGTGCTGTGGTGGCACAGCTCACAGCAACCTCAAACTCTTGGGCTTAAGCCATTCTCTTGCCACAGCCTCCCAAGAAGCTAGGACTACAGGCACCTGCCATAGTGCCTGGCAATGTTTTTGCTGTAGTTGTCATTGTTGTTTGGCAGGCCTGGGCCAGGTTCGAACCCGCCAGCCCCGGTGTATGTAGCCAGTGCCCTAGCCACTGAGCCACAGGCACCGAGCCTGCCCTTCCCATTTAGCACCATAGAACTTCTTTTACGTGTAATAGACTCTTTCTTGAGATTACGTTATCAAATTATGGACATTCTGAGAAACAAATTATGAAACTTTTGGTCAGAGAGTTTAATCTACCGCATCACACAAGGGCTTCTCTACACTGACCCACAGGAGGAAATTCTTTTGGGATATCAGACTTTTCCTGGTCCTCAGTGGTGTGTTAACCTTAACTATTTCATGAATCAGGTGGATGATAATTGCATCCTTTTCCTTTATGTTGGCTGTTTAGAAAGCTCAGAGCCACATTCATGGAATTTTAAAACTGTGTGGATCTGCATGGCCCACATATAGAAGGACTTCTCCTTTGACTTGACTTGGCTTGAATTTCCCAATGCTTATTTTTATTTTACTAGATTACTTTCACTTATTTTTATCTTGCTGTGTTTTAGTGTACTAACAGATAGAGACCATGGCATGTGCTGTAATTCTCTCTCCATCACTCTTAGAATGATCAATAGAACCAGTGAGTAACTCCTCACCGTAGGGTTCATCAGCAAAAGGGAAATATTACAACTAAAGAGAAGCAGTGGAGACAGAGATAGAGACAGAAGACACTAAGTGACAGCTGAAAAGAGAAGAAATCCATTTTTTAAAAAAGGGATGTATTGTTTTGAATTGTCTTTTGGAAACAGTTTGGAAGGTGGGGTTGAAGGAGCAGAGAAGATTTGGAAATTCTATAAACATCTCTTCTTTGACACATTAATCACCTCTCCTTATTATGGGCATATTTCGTGTTTCAAAACATCTACAGAAGTGCCAGTTTGTATTTTCTGGGGTTTTAGGAACAGGAAAGCTTTAGTGATTGTCAGTTCCTTTCTCTTGTTAAAAGTAGATTAATCCCACACTTGCTCATGGAGGTCAAAATCAAGTTGCCCTGATGAGTCATCCCCTCATAATCTTGGGCTTCCATCCTCATCTTTTTTTTGTGCACAAAATATGTTGTGGTAGTTCTTGCTCCTTAAAATTACAGAAGTGTTTCAATGTGTTCCGAAGCATATGTGTACTTACTGACACAGGAAAAACTATTTTCGGTGAACATTATTTCCAGTGGACCGTCAAGGGCTGTGGTCCTGAGTACATCACATATTTGTTAAACAGATTTTCCTCCCCCATCATCCATGTTCTTCCGGATGGAGATGAGTCTTGTCCCAGCTCCAGTGATGGGATGTCATTGGCCTTCAAGCCACTTAGAAAACTTGATGCCGCCCCTGGCCATAGTGACTGGTTCATGTTATATAGCCGATCATAAGTGGTGGCAAGCCTACTAGAAAGATAGAAAGCCAAGCATTCTCTCTCTTCTGCCAGATTTAATGGTGTGAGAATTTAACACTATGGTTGCTTTACCCACTTGGAAAAAGCCCAGATCTCCTAGAAGTACCACACACAGTCGAGCTTAAGGCTAATCCAAAAGAGAGAGAGCCTTACAAGGGAACAAAGTGACATACTTAAAGCTCCAGGCAGATAACGCCTGAAGCTACCATTGCCCATACACCTTCCAGATAATTGAGTCAATATTAGACAGAGTTTTGCTCTGTCACTCAGGTGTGGGTGAAGTGGACTCAGCATAGCTCACTGCTGCTTCAAACTCCTGGGCTCAAGTCTCCCGTCTGCCTCAGTCTCCCAAGTAGCTTGTACTCCAGGTGTGTACCATCATACCTAGCTCATTTTTTTTTTCTTTTTCTTTTTTGGAGTCAGGATCTTGCTTTTGCTCAGAATGATCTTAAACTTCTGGCCTCAGCCAATCCTCCTGCCTCAGCCTCCCAGAGTGCTAGGATTACAGGTGTGAGCCACTGTGCCTAGCCCATTTATTTTCCCTCAAACCAATTTTGAATGAATATTTCTGTCTATTGTGTACTACCTAAAAATATCTACAGTTATATTTAATTTTCCTTTCTTGCCTACCATTGGCAAATAGGGGAGAAATGTTTGCCTTCTGTTTCTTTATATCTCTTCTATCACTTTACATGTACTGTATTTATTTGCATCATTTTTTTCATTCTTATATCTACCCTTTCAACTGTTTGAGATGTAAGTATGTGATTTTTTCTTTTCTCCTCTATGTAATTCTTTCTTGACAGTGAACTTCAGGCAGTTATCTGAAGCCTGCTCAGA